GTGAAACACTTGCATAGAAGGGTGAAACACCCTTACATAAAAGGGTGAAACACAGCCTAGACTGACAAAACTTGATGCAATTCCTCTACCCCTCCATCAACATGCAGTGATTCTAAAAAAAAAAACCAAAAAAAGATATCTATATATAGGGATAATTTATGGTTGCTTAATATTTCATGCAGGCTCAAAATATCTACATGCAAGAAGAAAATGCTTTTCTATATTTAATGTATTTTTGTAATTTCATTACACTGGGCAATTCTCATGCCCCTTTACCATCAAAAATTCATTTAAATTATTAAGGGCCTGTGGAAATTTTAAACACTTCCTGACATTTCTCCAAAACAACAGTTACTGTAATGGTAAGGTTTGATTACAAAAAGTAATACAGTCTCCCTCTAACTAAATAAAGCTTAGAGAAAATGGGATTTAAATACAAAGGGTGTGTAAACACACACTCCTTTTCCCACCACAACAAAACAGACTGGTTTAGACTGAAAAGAGTTTTTCCTCTGGCACCTTTTCTTGCTTCAGGAAAAATATCAAGGGATGATCACTGTGATGTAAACCACATGCTAAACTCTAGTGATGAAATATTATAAAAGCATGATGTCGTCAAAGAAAGAATGCCAGTAGGTTATTTCCAGAGAAATTTGCTGAAGATGTTGGAAAATATGAATGATTTTACAACTTTTTCTAGAGAAACAAGAGAAAAAAAGATGTTGCAGGCTACAAAGACCTGAAGAATTAAGCTCACTAACAGTAAAAGCAGAATAAATTCACTAGGTTAAGCAGGTGATGTGTGGGATAACAGAAAGCCATCACAAGGTTCTGTAAACTGAAAATATTGTATAATTTGATTTTTTTTTTACTCTTTCCAGGAAAAAAAAAAATAAATGTAAAACAGAGAATCTTGGTATCACACTTCCTCAGATTAAAGGCTCTATCTTAGAAGTACTCCAGCTATCTTGAGTAGTGCTGTATTTGACAGCCTGATCCTTAGAAAAAAACAATGTTGATATTATTTAACACTAGAATTTTTGCCTTTAACTAGTATTTCTTCTAACCATCATAATACTTGTCTAAAAAGGCGTTTGAGAACCTGCAATTTTCTTTTATTGGAATGGATTAATCATTATCATATTGGTATACCTAACTTACAAAAAAAAAAAAAAAATAAAAGGGAAAAAAGGGAAAAAAAATCACACAGAGTTCCAAATCAGACAGTTAAAAAAATATTTTCCTTCCTTGTGTGCTCCAGTTGGAGCTGGGAAAGGCTCCACAGTGCTGCCCTCAGTCCCATGGTTGCTGGTACTGGGTGTTATTTTGGCACCCTGCCTCCCAGGAAGGCCAGTCTGGTCTGACTCCTCTGGAGGAGAACACTGTGCAGAAGAGTGAAAAACGTCAGAGCAGAGCTCAAAAGCAGAGAAAGATACATCTAATCTTTGCCCATGCACACAACACCCTCTTTGTTGACCAACAAAAAACACATTAAAACCTCCAGGACCAGGCACAAAGTGCTGATGTGAATAGCGGCTGCTCAGATGAGTAACACTTTTATTACATATTCAGAACTGAACACTTTGGCCAGGGACGGGGCCAGAATAAACCAGAGCATCGTCTCTGGAAGTTAATGGAACCATAATGAATTACACCAATTGAGAATTCAGAGTATTATTCTGGGATAGAGCTTGCTGGTGAAATGCACAAAACAAAGCAAAAGGCTAATTGCATGCTGGGCATGAACACAGTCACTTCAAATTCCATTTCCTGAAAAGGCAGCTGAGTAATATCATTACCTGAGAAACACCTAGAATCCTTCTTGATCATTCCCTCTCTTGCAAAACTTGCATATAGCAGCTTTCTTCTTTTTTGTTAAATTACATGAAAGAGCTTAAAGTCCATTGCTTTCTTTCCCCTGAAGTAGCAGGATAAAGGCATTACCACGACTAAAATATCCATTTTTAAACTGCTAACTCACCAAACCTATTCTGGGATACGAAATTCTATTTGATACAACAAATCTTTCCCAGCCTTGGAGAAGCTGAAGGGAGCTGCGTGACCAGGGCAGTTTTGGGAGGACATTCCCAAATCCTATGATGGGCTCCCAGTCCACGCAGCTTGCTGGCCCCTGGACTGCTGCTAGGCTGCATGCTCACACATCAGAGCCTCTTGTTTTGGTGGTTTAAAAAAGGAAAATGCTCTGTGCCTTCACCATTTACCCTCAGGACCCCTCACTACAAAAATACCTGTTATTTCCTCTAACACTGTTTTCACTAATAACAACTATTCCAGCTGATAACAAGAACTGTGTTGATCTAGTTATCCAAGGATATCTAAGGAAAATAAAGCCACCTCCTGTCTGCCAGACAGGGATTTTAAAGTTCCTCAGGCCCATGAGCAACAAGGGGATGATTTGTTCCGAGCAGCAGCCGTGAATTAAAAATGTCAGTGTTGTCCTGAATGGAGACAGCAGCAGCCCGGGCTGCTGGGAGAAACTCAGCTCTGAGACACCAGGCTGCTGCAGGGAAAGATTTGGGGGCTGCTTTCCCTTCTAGTTTTCTACCCCAGACAAAGGACATGGATACACAGCAGGGTTAATTCACTGCTGCCGGGATAGGGGTCACGTCTGACTGAGCCACTGGCTGCTGCTAATAAATGTAATGTCACATCTCTCCTGCAGTAATTTTAGCAAGACACAGCGAGGAGAATGAAGTGGGAAATAGCCTAATCTCACCAAGATGCAGTGCCACTTCTTCCTGTCTGATGTCCCATTTTTCAAAGAATAAAGGAAAAAAAAACCTAAATGAAAATGCAACTTGTCCTGTCCTTTACCGCTGCTACCCGTTGCTGCAGAAGGATGGAGCAGCACAGAGTGAAACACAGTTCCCACCTTAGAACTGCAAAATCCCTAATCTGTACCACAAATTCCACACCTTGTCTCCCACCAGAAGACAGGAACTGTGGATAATATCCCATTGCCCCTGTGCCCATTCCTTTCCCCCCAGCTCAACAGGGACTGGCTGACTCGCCTGGCCAGGGGGATCTCACCAGGGATTTCTTTTAAGGCAACTTTCCATTGTTCATGCAGTAAAAATCCTCCTCAATAGGCTACAGACATATTCATAATGGGGCTGGGGCTTTAGGAAACTATTTAATGTCTTTTAGCCATAAAATAGAAGTACCTCCTGAAAGAGCTGGCTTATACCTGGATGTTTGGTGCAGCTCTCCAGTGTCTGTGACACTTCAGTGGCACTTTCCCTGCACAAAAAATACCTCCAGTGCACATAAAAGTGCCTGCAATGGGATGGCTGCGTGTCTTCCATCCCTAGTTATCCTAAATAAACCATCTCCTCCTTGGCTCTCCAAAACTCAAAGGTCCAGCGTGGGGGTTGATCTCTTCTGCCCCCTCACATGAGACAGGACAAGAGGAAATGGCCTCAAGTTGCACCAGGGGAGGATTAGTTTGGGTATTAGGAATAATTTCTCCACACAAAGGGAGGTGGAATCATCCTTGAAAGTGTTCAAGGGATTTTTTAAACCACCAAAAAAAACATGTGGATGTGGTGTTTAGGGACGTGGCAGTGCTGCCTTCACCATCTGACTCAATGACCTTTGAGGTCTTCCCCAATCTTAGCAAATCCATGAATCTACAATTCCACATTTCTGTGAGGTGGACAAAACCCTCCTTTTCCCTCAGGATGCAGTGAGAATGATGCCTTTTTCCAGCATAACGTGATTATTTCCTCAGATTATCAAAATTCAACTGTGCTATAAAGCTCCTCGGAAGGTTCTCAGACATTGAAACAGCTTTTTGATGTTCATATGCTCATATGTTCATAGAAAGAGTAATTTTTTTTCATTTGGCAGCTCCTGAACCAAGTGTTGAAACCGAGTAAAGAATAAAGCCTCAGGAAGCAGCTCAGTAGCCTAGAAAGTGACATAATTCACTCACACAGGCCCACAAACCAAAGGCCAATCACAGCTCTGACCTCGCTGATGCTTTCTGAAAATGACTGACATCAACCTCATGATTCAAATATCTTAAGGATAGCTTGAAAGCACTCACAGCCCTCAAAAATCCTCTGCTGGGAATCTTCTAATTCCTGCCCTGCTTCATGGGGAAGGCTCCCGAGGCGTTAGGATTCATGGCAAAGATCTGATTTTACCCCTGGTGTGATGTGGTCAGTGTCATCAGCCTGCAATAATTGAGGTCAGCAGCTCAGTCCGATAGCTATAGCCGTGCAACACTTTCATTTCCCTTTCTCTCTCTCAAAAACTAAAAAAAAAAAAAATATAAAAAAAATAAGTTTAGGCAGAGTGGGAAATCGAAGATCACATTTCCATCATTCACAGCCCACCTCCATTTCTGATCACAAGGAAAAGACAGATGAATTCATGTCACAAGCGCCAAAAATCCTTATCAAGTCCTTGGTGGGCAAAAGCACTTTCTACATTTCCCTAATAGCTGTAAGGCTCAATCATTTCTGGGAAGTTTAAACTACAAGTTGCAGAAGGAATATAGTTCTCTGTTCTCCACTTTGATGAAAAGTTAAGCTAAGTGCACAATAGGAGCTTATCCCTCCTGGGCACACAGAGAGGAGGTGTATTTGAATTTCTTCTGTATGTTGATTTTCGTGCTTGGTTAGTGATTTGTTAATGTCCTCGGAAGTTACAGAAACTTGGCAGAACATGTTCCTAAATTTCGCTGGCTAATGAAATAGTTTTAAACATAGGAGGGACAGAAAAAACATCAAGGTGAAATAAGAATAGGGCACATCACATGAAAAATGAATGACAGTACGGTGAAATGGTTGAAAATCCATTTAACCAAAAAGTCCATCTGCATTTCACACCAATCCCTGATTCTGCTTTCCCTTTAACAGTCAAGGTGGGCGACGATATTGGAATTGACCTTTTTACTCAGCAGAACTGAAATCAAACCAGGTACAATTTACAAGCAGCTTCCACTGGAGCATCAACATGTTTTGAACCTGCTGCATAAAGGCTCGTTCTGCAGGCAGCAGCCACACAAACAGGCAGCAGTGTTCCGTGGGGAGGTTTATTCAGCACACCTTGAGACGTGGCTGGGAATTGTGACTCAGATTTGTTGTTGTCAAGCGAGGGAACCGGGGAACTCTGTCTTCAGGCAGGCTGTAAACAGTGCTAAGTAAAGCCAGGTCTGAGCAAGGCACAGGGCTTGTGAAGGACAGGTAACGAAGCCAGGGCTCTTAGTGCTAATTGGAATAAGGATGAGGATTCTCCTCTGGACACAGATGGAAGCTGATGGGCAAGCAGTCAGCGTCTCACAGCAAATGGAGAGGAGGTGACTCTGGTGAAAGGAAAGGCTTTGTTAGCAGCTCTCCTTAGCACGAGAACTGAGCAAAAAATGAACTGCTTGTTATGTGCTATGAAGCAGTTCACACCAGGAAAAGCAGCCAGGTGAAAACCATGGGAGCTGTGAGGGTGAGCAGGCCCTGGCACAGGGTGCCCAGAGCAGCTGGGGCTGCCCCTGGATCCCTGGCAGTGCCCAAGGCCAGGCTGGACATTGGGGCTGGCAGCTCCTGGGACACTGCGAGCTGGCCCTGCCATGGCTCAAGTGATCCTCAAGTCCCTTCCAACACAAACCAGTCCGTGTGATGTGCACACAACCCTGTCTGATGGATTTTGTGGGATTTTTACAGACTGGCCAAGAAAATTACTTACTACCAAATATCACTGTCATTTTGCACACCCTATATGTAATTTCCTTCCCACACCAAGGGGGTGTTCCTGCAAATCCCAATCAAAAAACACTGCAAGTCTTCCACGTATGGAAAACAGGAGCCACTGGTAATCAAGGACAAAGTGTCTTACCTAACAAGGGAAATTCAGGGGTTCACAACATGCAGCTGCTCTGGAAAATTCAGCATTTCCTGGAGATCTCCCCAAGGTTGCTCACTGCACCCATGCAGATGTTAGGGGCTCTGCCAGGAAACAGCCTGTGTGCTGTTTCCAACACAAACACACAAATTTTGGTACCTGCTTCATTCTCATTCCCCTCACTCACACACTGATCAATGATGCAAGAAGCCACTGCCTCCCTCTGCAGAGATGTGTCCCAAATCTTATCACATATTCCTTCCCTGTCCCCAGGGCCACAGGGGAGCTCCAGGGAAGTGACTGGGTTTTGCTTTCTTCTCCTCACCTCTTGAACCACACCAAACTAAAAACAAACCCACCAAAAGGAAATTTCACCTTCATCAGAATTCTCCAAGTCTGGCTAGAATTCAAAGATTGCACCCAAAATGTTTTGATGCTTCCTGCAGAGCAACAAGCTACTAGTGAGCCATCAAGTTAATGAGACTGCTCCCAAAGCAGACCAAATTTCATGCCTAACTAGAGAAGTTAATGTTTGTTGAGGTGTAATGAAGTAAACAATCAAGCAGGGAGTATACAACAGCTTTACTTAAAATTTGGAATTTATCTTCTTTTTTTTTTTTTAAATTACTTTGAAGCTTTAAGCAGGTGAGGTGCATTCACACTACGTGGAGGTGGTGGGACAAAATTCAAACAACCCACTGGAGAGTGCCAGAATGCCAACATCACCCCCTGAAAGAATCCCTGGGGATTACAGACAGGTTAACCAGGAAAGGTCTTCAGGAAATTGCTGGCAATCAGATACTCCTGACCTGACCCTTCTCTCCCAGGAACCCAGGTAATGAGTATCCTTGTGAGAATCCAACACCTGGCTATAGATTAAAGAGCTGTTTTTTTCCTGACTGAGACAACAGTACGGCTAATCCCAAATAAACCCTGCTTTTCCTGTATGGAACTGGAGACAGTTGCAGGATCAGCAGAGGGAAATCTGGGGGCTGTGTGAGCAGGGACAACACTGCAGCCAGGTGAGCACACCTGGAAGACCCAGTCTCAGCTGAGACAAAGCCCTGCTCCAAGGTGTTCTCCTACAAGCTGAGTTTATCTCTCCAACTGAAACAAACAGATTCATTACAGAGACAAAAAGTGAGACTTCTGGTCTTGCCTGAACTGGTTGCATCCAATTTCTTTCCAAGCTTTAATGGATTAACCCATTAAATCATGGAAATTACTTTGGTCACTCTTGAAAGCTGAGATTTTTAGCTATCAGCACAGTTACCAAAGAGCTGCCTGTATACTTATGTGCTGAGGAAGTTTTATATCCTTATTAAATAAAAAAACCCCAAAAAACCTCTGGTCTCTAAGTGAACAAAGGAATCTCCTGGCAGAAGAGGGAGTCATTTGATATAGGCATAATAAACTGGTTTTCTGCCATGCACATCAACACCAAAGACTAATTAATTCTGATTGTGGCTTTCACATGATTGAGGCAGTTACTTGGTTAAGAGAGGCTAAGAAAAACTATCACGGGAATAAATACCAGTTTTTAGTTTTTATTATATTCCTTGTATATTCAAAAATACTGATACATACAAATGTATGGTGATGTGCCTTTTTTTGTTTCATTTTAACTGCCCTGAATTTGGACACAATTGATATCTACACAAAAAGGTCTAAATTTTACCTCATAGTCTATAAAAAAAAGACAATTAAAGATGGTCACTCATTTTATTTTATATTTAGATATCCAGATTTCTAGAACTGTATGTTCTGAAATGCTCAGAGAGGATGCAAATTTCTGTTTGCACAAGGAGTGATATTGTGCCTTTTTACACACTGACAGAATTGGTAACGAGTTATAACTGAGTTATTACTGACATTTTTATAACCTACAAGGGAAGAAAAGGTTTGCAGGTTGACTACAGGGATACCTTCTCTGGAAAAGTGAATTACTGGGTTTAAATTTGAGAAGAATTTAAAAGAGGGACCAACGATTTCAGTGTGATTGGTCCCAGGTGATCACAATCACACCTATTCACTCACAGGAACAGGAGCAAAGCTAGGTAAAGACTTGTGAAATGGAGATGAAAACTGCAGGAAGATGAATCCATCTGTGAGCATCTTTTTATTTAAATCTACCTTTTAAAAAGAGAAGTTAGATATTTAGTTTCTAAGAGACGGAAGTCATACTCAGGAGACTCACAGTGGGTTTTGCAACCTCTTTTGATAAATATAAATGTAAAGCTCTGAACCTCATGAATTTTACTCTCTCTGGAAGGTTAGCAGGTATGATGTTTTGTGTGTCCTAACACAGTACAATGAATAAGATATAAAAAAATGTAAATAAATGAGGTATTTATCCGTATGAGGAATCCCACACTCTCTGTGTTTCATATATGTTGGGTTCTCTCTCCACCAGTTAAAAAAAAAGCAAAGCCCAGAGTTTACAATACTTTTGCTTTGGCATTATATCCTTTAGTACATTTAATTCATCCAATTAGTAAAAAAAACCAACAAACCAACAAACTAACTAATAAGATGCTGCTGACAGCTCCAGTTTTGAAAACACCTCCCCTCTACCAGATCCCATATGGGAAAGTTGTCTTTTGGAGTGTGTAACTTCATGTTTGGCCTGCCTGAGCACAGGGTGTGTAACTGAGAGCTCCTTCGTGAGGTCACCTGTACATAAACCAGCCAGTTCAGGTTAAGCTCCAAAACCAAGCAGAATACAGCAAAATGCACGCCAAAATCTGGCCTAAGAACTACAGATGTCATTTTCCCATTGTGCCTGGATTATTTTGAAGCCATTCTTCCCCTTCCAAGTTTCACAGATTTCTAATATTCTGCATGAAATCCGTGCACATAACATATGCAGCATCATGGATATTGAGGAAAGTGGTCCTTGAGAAGAGCCTTTCATCCTAAAGATGAAAAGGAACTTCTCAGCCTTCCAGCACAATGACTGACAAAAAAACAAACCCTTGCTTTCCAGGAATATTGCTTTCTGGCAATATGCTGAGTGATTTATCTGGAATTTGTGTATCAGTTTTGTGCCATCATTTAGGGCTTCCACTGAGTAAAGCAAATTTTTCTGGTACAATTTTATCACCTCAGTGTCTCTTAGATTGATCTATGTGCCACTTTAAGAATAAAAGTTTAAGGACATATAGGGAGGTGACTTTAGAACAGTTCCTTTTACCTGTGATGGACATAAATAACAAAAATGTCCAGTAAAATAAGCAGGACAATGGAGAAGAGGAGGAATAAGTGAAAAAAAAAAAAAACAAAACAAAAACAACATCTCTGAGAGTATTACATTTATTACTTTTAGATGAAGTAAAGAGATTTCCATCTCAATCAAAGGTGTTTTAAGCCATTAAAATAAAACAGCTTTTCTATTCCTATTTTAGACAGAGTGACGATTTTGACATTTCCTTAGGTGTAAAAATCTGTTTCCCATCAAGTTTCCACTGGGCAAAGCCAAACAGGGAAACCAACTCAAATCCAGCCAAATTCCACCAGACTCACAGGGTGCAGCCTGGCTGAGAAAACTTCCAGTTAAAAACAGAGATGCATGCTTTAACCTGGAAAAGCAATAAATCAAGGGAACAACCACAGGGCTTAGTGCAATCTCGAGCAATCCAGCTTTTAATCAAGATAGGCTGTTTGCTGGGATGAGACACTGTAATACAGCTGGGAAGTCATTAAGATAATTATGGCAGGGAGTGTTGCACAGGTGGCCAGAGCAAATGCCCTTCCAGGGAGAGCCATACTCCAGATAAAAAATAAACTGGTGTGTGCACCCAGCACGGGGGAACTGCCCCAAACAGCCTGCCCAAAACACGGAGGAAATGTGGAGTTTGAGAAGGCAGCCTACAAAGTACCCCACTCGGCATCAAAAGAGCTGTCACACATGGAACAGCCACAGGGGACAGCAAACTCTGCTCAAATGTGAATCCAGGTGTGAATCCAGGCACTGGGAGGCAGCTCATTCCATAGCTGAAAATAAGGGCTTTCATCCCAATGTTCAGGGTCACCATCCTTTTAGGAGCCTTTCTTCCTCAAGAACCAATACTTCCCCTCGTTGAAAGGATCCAAGAGCCAACAGTGCTAAACCAAACGTCAGCTCTTCCAAAGCACAGACATGTTTTCAAGAAGGGAATGCAAATCCACTGTTTTCTGTACATCAATATCTCGTTTTCAGTATATCATGATATATACCTAAATATTTTTGATGCTGTTTCTTCCTGCCTGAATTACAACTGGCAGAGGGGCAGGGCTGGATGGGATCTTGGGCAGGAATTGTTCCCTGGCAGCTGGGGCTGCCCCTGGATCCCTGGCAGTGCCAAGGCCAGGCTGGACACTGGGGCTGGCAGCTCCTGGGACAGTGGGAAGATAAAGTTCAAAATGAAATTGTGTGACAGAGGTTTCCTGGGCAGGCCTGTGTTTCACCGTGCACTGAATTCAGCCATTCCTGCCATTCCAATATACAAGTATACAAGAATTCAAGAATAATTTGGTGTAATAAAAATAATCCCAACCAGGTCCTTTAATTGCACCAGATCCCAAAAGAACCATTACCCTGGGTGCTAAACAAATGCAGGGACCATGGATTAAAGGAGAAACAAAAGCTGGGGTGGGGACTGCCCCTGGCAGGTTGCTGATGGCTGTCAGGAGTTTCCTGCTCACCTGATAAGCAGTGGCTCTTCAGCTGAGGATTGGAGGAGGATGAGGCAGAGCAGGGCTGTGGTGGCACAGCTCCAGCACCACTGATGTTCAGTTTCACAACTGGGGAGCTAAATTCTCTACCAACAGGTGTCAAAATAGGCTTGGGAAATTATTACTCTTGGAAGGAGATAACATTTATGAAGGCACTGCTTCATTAATGGATTTAATTTTGATTTATTTACTTAAGAACTTGAACTTCATGCCATTTATTCTCCTTTCATGAGCATATTAACACACCTACCGCCCCCCATCCCCCCTAAAAAAAAGAAGGAACAATTCCACTTCTGTTCCAAGTGCACATTGCTGAACTGTTGAAATTACCCTGGTTTTTCACTTGAGGAGAAAAACAAACAACACTGCCTTCATGGGTGTGCATCAAGCTTGGAATCACCAGCTTGGTCTGAAAATTATTCTAAAATAAGGGTCTTACAATTTAACTTAAATATATTGAAGGCAGTTAATTTGATGATTTATGCAGACATTAAATTGCACTTGAAAAGATTTTACAACTCACCAAGGGAATAAAAGTTCTTTCATGTGTAACATTTAGTAGTATGTGGATAATACAGCAACAAACATTTTTAAATTTTACATTAATCAGTGTCATTGCATCTAACTGCAGTGTGATCATTAGCTGCTCTAATTTTTCTGATCAATCACCAAACTCTCACTAGGCTTAGCAGAGCATAAATCTGACTGTGTCAGTTATATCAGTTCACTGAATAAAAACTCATTTTGAGGCAACAACATTCAGCTGCACCACTCTGTATGCTGAAGCAGGAACAATAAGGTGTGGAGAGAATATGCAGAGATATAAGCAATTCTGATAATTTTCATAGAAAAATGTCGAAGTAATATGTTGTAAATCCCCCTTAGTGCAATATACTGGCAGCAGGATTTTTAAGGGGGCATGGAACATCTTGATGCTTGTACTGTAAATGTATTTTGAACATGGCACCTGGTGTAACACAGGAGGAAACCAGTTTGGCAACCGCAAGTATTTCAGGGGCATACAACCATCAGGTTGTGGGGGAAAAAAAATCAGTTTCAAGTTTCAGGTGGGGGGAAAAAAAAGTACCTACAGCTTTAAGGGAAAGGGAAATGAGATTATTCCTTGGGATGAACCATATACAATTACAGCCTGACAAAAGGAGAAATAATTTAAACCCGAGGTAAATTAAAATGGCTAAGTACTAAAACTCCTTAAAAACAGACTTTTAAAGAGAAACCTTCACAGATAGAACTATAACTGCACGGCACAGCCGGGCGCTGTTACAACAGGCTTTTTTTATTATTACTAACTTTGATCAAAGCTTATTAACCAGCAGCACCAAGCCATCAGTGGATTGGACTACACAGGAGAGCTAATTAAATTTAAAGGGCCACAGAGTCCTGAGGGCATAACACACAATCCCCAAGGCAGGAGCTGGAATGGAGGGGGTGAGAACATTTGCATGGTGAGGCAGTGGGAGACTGCAAGGTGCTTGCTCTTATTTACTGTGCAAAGAGGTTAATACAACCCATTCTGAACCTGTCCTTGTCATCAACCATGCAGAAAAGTGTGGGCACTGAATGTCTGGGGAAATATGGAATATTTCCACACACTTCAGCAAGAAACACAGATCATAAAATTTTATTTGATCCAGCAGGGCAGATCATGACATCCCTCCTTACCCTAAGGAGAGGTAACTTCTACCAATTATAATGTGAAATATAACTAAAGAATTTAGGGACAAGAGAAAATAAAACAGGATGCAAGCTGACTGTAAATTGGTGCACAGCAGACTTGTTTTGTCCAGAGGCAGACACATATTATAGCATTTATAACCGGAAATAACAGGAATAAATCATAAAACAATTTCTTCCATTGCCTACATCCCACCTGCTACGTTATACTTCCTATCTGCAATAGATTGCAGTAATTAAATCTTTCCCTGCAGTTTTCTCATATACCTGGAGGAGGAATAACATTCTCTTTTCTGGTCACTTTCCAGGCACTGTGAAGAGTAAAATATTACCCTCCATCCACCTTTCAAACTCCTGGGAAAGCAGCAGAGAGGGGGAACATTTATCCCATCCTTGCTAATGTTTTAAAAGCCTCCTGACACGTGGACCACTGAAACATTTTTCAGTTAATAAAAGGAGCTGATTCACAGCACAAAGCCATTATTTCCAACCATGATATCAAATTGTGATTTATCAGTCTGATATTGTCATTTCAGGACCCCTAGGAGGAAGGTCTCAGTAGCTGCAGTAAACCAGTAAAATTCAGCGCAGAGGGGAAGAAAGAGGAATTGGTAACAGCTGGGTTGTCCTTAACCTGAGTAGGTGTTTCTGTATCCTAAAATGACAGAAACATCTTGCATCAGTGTGGTGGCATCATGCTGAGTCACCCACTCACTCCTGTGGGCTAAGAGAAACACGGGCTGGCAACTTCTGGGGTTTGTGGTTTGGTTTCTTATTTTCCCCTTAAAGAACAGCTGTGTCCAGTTGGCACCAGCACATGAAGGGAACCACAGCCTCATCCCACTCCACACCTCCTGTGGCATTTCCAGGTCTGCTCCAGATGGGGGAATTTTGTTGAAGCACCAGCAGAGAAAACAAAAACTACACACACCTTGCTTTGGTAACTCACAGAATCAAAACTAACCCTGTCCTGCTCCCAAGAAACATTCCTGACCCTCCATCCATGAACAGCAGCAGGATTTCCTCCACCTCTTCCTTCCTCTCTCAAGCAGGAGTTCACAGGCATTTCAAGGACCTGAGATGTCATCTGTAGCTGCTGCCTCAGAATTTATTAAACTGCAGTGAGAGCTGGAGTTCTGTGCCTTTCTCAAACTCACATTCACAGACCTAAATAAGACTTCAAATAAATTCTTCCCTTGCTCATGCCATGACGGGAAAAGCTCTTCTATCTACAAATGTATTCTTATTTATAAATGTTGCACTACTTCTAAGGGGTGTAATTGTCATCAGCTGTATTTCTGAGTGCTTTAAAATACTCAATAATTCAATTTTAATTTCTTAATTTACAGTACAAAGCATTAACTATGGTGGTGTGCAGGCAAGACAAAAACTACCATGTCTGAGTTGATCATTGTTTTAAGCTATGAAGCAGAAACTGATGTGAGAAAGGAAACCATAACTCAAACCTACAAAAAGTACTGGAAATCCCCAAAAAAAGAAGAAATTTTAGGTAAACTTTTAGATTCTGCCCCTTTACAAAGACTGCAATTAATCATTCTTACTTAATTTTCTTAATATTTTTCTTCACTGGGTCTTGTTACAATATTTGCATCAGATCAACACCAAACTGATAACTAGGGAAGTCATTCCATTTTATTTTAATAAACATCAGCAGTTTTTTCTCCCATATCCACTGAAACACCATGGTATTTGAGTGCCCCAAAAATTCAGGGAGAAGAACAACTATTGGTGGCCAAGAAAAACCTTCAGACAGAGTTTTAAACTCTGCAGTTCAACAAATCCTGATTTTTTTTTTGCTGATTTTGCAGTGTCTGGATTTCATAGCTTCTGTGTAACATCCCCATGAGTTGCTAGACCAGAATTATGTTGTGATAAGAAGTTTACCCCGCCCAATCATCTGCTGAGCACTGCTGCTTTTTCAGTTAATAGTGAATTATTTGGACATCTGCATATACAAACACACTTTTACTGTGTGCATCAACATGTGCAGACACACACCTGCCTTCACTTTCCTTCAAAGAAGTTATTTAATTCTGATCTTCTCTCTTGATTGTGGGTTTCACCAATATCTACTAAAACAACCCCAATGATCTTGTAATTCTCACTGACTCTTGCAATGACATTTAAAGTCCAAAAGGGAATGAAACACAATGATGGACTAGGAGACAGGAAAACTAAGACAAACTGAAAAAAAACCCCAAATATTATCTGTTTTATGTCTTACAGTCCTTGATGCTTCATGTAGCTTTGAGCTTCATTGTCCACTCATTCCACTCATCCCTGAATCACTATTTTCTCCATAAAGGCATGGTTTGCCTCTTTTTGAATGTGAACATTCTAGGGCAGACTTCAGGTATTCAGCACCCAGCTGGGCTTTCCCCTTGTTCACTGAAAGAGAAAGCTGTGCACACAGGAAAAGCACCAACTGACCTCAGGGATACTCAACAGTGCCTTGAAAAAACTCAAGTGTGTTACCCAAAGCATTTACTTCATGGTCTTGATGTTATCTGCAAATTTTGCATCTGAACTCTTCCACTCAGGACCAAAACCCTGAGGACGGCATCCCTCAAAGGCAAAAGAAAGTACATTTTCTGTTTCCACCTCAAATGAAAGCACAGTGTGTTTTCCTGTAACACTGATCAGACTGGTCCTTCATGATGGCCTCAGCAGGGCAGTGGGTGTTGTCTTCATTATTAAAAACATATCTCTGTCTCAAAACTCTCACTGGGCTAGTTAGGCCCCACTGAATTTAGAAACACCTTCCAGTTTTCTCTACTTTTTCACTGAACAAAGTATTTCCCCTCATGTTACCTGAACGGACCAATTACCACCTGACAGCAAAGACTTCTGGAGAGCATAGAGCAACATTAGATGGCTTCTTTCTGTGATCACAATTTCCTCCACTTGTCTGAAGCTCTGCCCACTTCATTTAAAGCCATAAATTCCAGCAAACAGGCCCACACGAGTGACAAAGCTGTTAACCACTGGCAACAGGGTCCTGAACACTTCTGGTTCCCAATGAGCACAGAAAATTACTATTTTACAGGAACACATTTTTGTCTGGATTACCTTTACCTGTGGTGGAAATAAAAAGCCTCAGTGAGACACCCATAGAGGACTTTGCAGACCTGCAGGGAAGTTTATGTATGTATTTTTGTATACATATGTGTATGTATCTATACATGTATATAACCATATTGCAACTCTCAATGCAGTTTTGCAACTTGGATAGCATTTGCCTCGTGTATTCCCACTCATTTGTCACAAACATGCCAAAATTCTGATTCACAGTTAAGTATCTTGTACTGTATAATGGGCCATCACTGCATCCCACACACTTTACAAGGCTCTAGTCCTGGAAAAATTCATCAGATTAAGTTTCATGAGCATCTTCACAAGGCCAAAAATTCTCTGACAAATTAAAGTGGATTCTGCTATAAATACATTTTCATTCCATTTATGCACACAGCTCTTTTTATAGCTGTTAAATCTCCTCTCCTTCCCCTTTTTAAACGCTATTGAAACTGTCAGGAGCTACCTTTTGCACTTTATCAATCACAGCACACACATCATGATTCCTAGAATCTAAAATGGAATTGTTGATGGTTCAGATACTGTTAGACTGTCATTAGTCCCACAAAGTGTGTAATTTGTCACTTTGCAAGAAATGACAGTGCCTTCACTCGTGCAACATGCTTTTAAACCTCCCCTCTCTAATTTGAAAATGCCAGTATTGTACTCTGCTTCAGGAGAGGTATTTTTAAGGCTTGCTGGCTGGCTTGTCACAGAGCAATCTGTCAGGTAGTATTTTGCCTTCCTTAAGGTATATTCACACAAAGCCTGTCTGTGATATAACACAAAGACAATGCTCTCTGTCTTACCTGATGGCAACGAGGCCCGTGCTGGATTTTCACTTTCCTCATCAGTGCTGGCATCATAGTTGCTTTCCCTCTTTATAACCATCTGAGCAGTAGCTACACTATCCCTAAAAACATCAAAAGAAAGGAAAAGAAATTAAGATATTTTTGTTTCTCGAAGGAATTAAATAATTCAGGGAGAATATGTACGGAATTACAACCTATGGAAAGGGCAGGGACATGATCTGATTGGAAAATCAGCTGCAGCTCAGCAGAAAACAGGACAGATCCATCAAACACTCACTTCTTGGCTACAGCACCCACAGCAATATGCTGCTGCTTGCAAGGATGCCAGAAAGAATCCTCCTCTTCCATGACTTCCAGGATTGGTTTGGATAACCCAGCACTCAGCCAGGAAGAACTGTCACTCACTGTCAGGGCCAAGGAAATGGAAACTGAACTAAGCTAAACTCAAATATGCACCAAGTACTACACCAAGAAACTCGGGGAAATTAAATACCTTGCGCATTTGGCATCCACTGCAGATTCTTTAGCTTCACTCAACAACTTCTGCAAGCTTCTTATCTTTGCCTTCTTTTCATTCAGCACCAAAACAAACTTGCTATAAAGGTCTGCCTCCAGCTCCTCTTTAGCTTCCACGCATTTTTCCAGCCTGCAGCACAAAATTAACTGTTACACCAGCTCTTCTGTTTCCTAGAAGACAATTCTGTCATGAGGCCAGCCAGGAATCCCCACTCCAAACCACGCACGGCTGCTCCAGCACCTTGTGTCTGAAACAGGCCAGAATAAGCTATTTTCTTCTTGTTGTTTTTCCACAGAGAATGCAATGAACTCTGCTTCCAAAAGGTAAAAGTTCCCAGATGTGAACCTCCTTCCTTCATGCCTCTTCTTTTTTTTTTTTTTTTTTTTTTTTTTTTTTTTTTTTTTTTTTTTGGTAGGTTCTTGCACACCTCCATCTGAAACAACTAAAATTTAAATAGGCAAATGTTCTTTATTTTCAATGCTGAATCACAACAGTGGCCATACCTTAGCAGGACAGACATAATGAAATTATAAACAGATATGATTCACCTTGACAGGTCTCAAATCTGGAACCACACATAGGTGTGAAATATATTTGAAGAGGAAAAGAAAATTCCAAAATATGAAAATTTTTAGAAGATCTTAATATCTTCAGAGGAAAATATATTTCAGGTTTTTAAAAAATTTTAGTATGCACCTGTGGGTAGATGAATGTCAATAAAAGGAAGCACAATGGGAGTATTAAATTAAGAATATGGTTGTATAAAGTCTCATGAGAAAAACTGGAATACAAGCAAACCTGGGCACAACAAATTAAGTGATTTGTGGCAAATGTAATTCTGTATTTAATTCTTATATTTCATAACCTTTCAGTTCTTGGGTTGAACCACAAACATTTTATTAGCTGTGTACACAAGAAGCAAATAAACATCTTGATAATCTTACTGATCATGATAAATATAGTAAATAGTCACAACTTAAAAACATTTCTTTCAACAGCCTGTGCAAGGCTGTAAAAAAGTTTAGAAGGCTTATTATGCTATTAATGCAACAGACTTAAAAAATACTAATTTATAAGGCAAGAGATTTCAACAGACTTCCTACATAAATACTAATTATTTTGTTCACAGATCAAAACCATATATGATGTAAGAAGCAAGACAATAGCAAAAAAAAAAAAAATCTCATGAAGTATTAAGCCTACTGTTCAATGCTTTAGGGATATGCTTGATAGTTGATAAATAATTCATCTAATTTAAATGCAAATAGCAGAACATCATTACCATATAGATCAGTTCAATAATTCCTAAATGAAAGATCATAGGTACTAATCAACTACCAGGAGACTTTCCACCTACAAAAGGGAAGTTAACTGTTTAGTGGGGAATAAATAGACAATTCATAAAGAATCATAAACTCTAATGCAGGGCCCAGAAGAGCCTGGACATGCTTGATACTAATTATTTCTGTATACATAAAAATGGGGGGAAAAAAGGATTTTGTCTAAAATATGCTAATCTTGTCTGTATCAAATCCTGTAGAATAATCCCCTCTCCCACACATAAACCAGGGAAAGCGGCTGCTCTCTGCCTTTACTTTGCCAAGGCACTGGCTTGCGTTGGGGCAGCTGAGGCTGATTCAAACAATGAGAAATGTGGCTGACTTGGCCAAAAAAGTGCCATTTAAGACAATTTCAGTGATGCCCTCAAGTGCTGCAAAGACATCCCCTGATGAAAACCCACGTGAATTGAAACTTCCAGTGAAGTAAAGCTGATGCTGCCTGGACTGTGAGTAGTACAGTGAAGAAACCTACTGCAAGATTGGCCAATTTCTTCACTCTCTGGAGAAAAAAATCAGCATCTTGAATATCAGAATTAGAATATTAACTCTTCCCTCTGGGCAAAACCCATTAGTAGTATGCCATCAGTTAATCTCATATGATTGTTTTCATTTGCATGAACACCTTTTGCTGATTTTTTTTTTCCTGTTATTCAAAGCCATCCACATCCAAATACATTCTCCAGACACAGAATGGCAGTAATTTGGCAAAACACTCAATGTAAAAAGCACTGAATATCACAAAAGCACCACATTAATGCTGTACTTGCAGGTTATGAGCCTTTAAAATACATTGTTACATGGCACATCTGATACTTTAAAAAGAGACTGACAAAAGGCAAGGGTTTTGGGGACAGAGATGCAGAAATTGTGCAGGTGGTGAGCATTCACTGAGGCATTCACCACCTGAGCTACGTGAGCACAGAGCAGAGCTGGCTGGGTTTCATGGCTGCAAACACAAACTTTAATTGCCATTCCTCACGTGCTGCTGCCTGTGTGTGCCCTGTGTGCCTCAAACACCATCTCCCCAGGCCAAATGCAGGAGCTGCTCATCTCACAGACAAGCTCCCAGCACCAAGAACCCAAATGGGGTTTAACTGCTGGAGTGGTGCCTCCCAATTTGTGCATCCTCAGGTCTCTCTGAAATGCTTTTCACGTGCCAAATTGCAGCCAAAGGTGACAGGCATCCAAAATCCTGCACTGAAAACAAACACTGGCAGGGACTATGACAAATAATGAACTGAGAAATTCATAATAAAAACCAAGATTTCAACTGGTGACCCAACACAGAGCAATCAGGCATGCTCTACAGAGGTGAACGTGAGCCATGAAACTTAATGGCATTTCTTTAATTATTAGTGACAACCTTCACAGTCCAAGACTAAGAAGGAAAGAACTCAGCACCTCTGGTATTCATCCCTGCTCCCAGTGCTCTAAAATAATTCCTGATCTCACAGCACTGCTCCCTTGCATTTCAGATTCACCCTTCCCCCAGCACTGGCAATGGTATGGAATGTTGATGAGCTAATGCTGAAGACCCAGTTTCAAGCCCAAAGTACCTAGCTTGCATTTTTATAATCTGCTTGTGGTTTAAATACACTGTCACTGCAGTTGACCACAACATAAAGTGGCAGCTATTTTGAATTTGGCTTGTCTACACAAATTTTAGACACCTGATAAAAAAATACAGACCCCCAGGCCCAAACCAGAAATTGGATTTTTATTGTTGAAGGAATTATTTTGCTACAGGTTATTATTACTTAAAATTTGCCACCTCCATTATTAGGGAATCACAGATGGGTTTGGGTTGGAGGGGCCTTAAAGCCCAGCCAGCTCCACGGGCAGGGACACCTTCCACCATCGCAGGCTGCTCCAAGCCCCAGTGCCCAACCTGACCTGGAACTAATCAGCCTTGAATTTTCTATATGAAATAAAGAGAGCAGCTGTTCTGCTCTGACATTTTAACTCGTCCATCCCTCAGGTGTGCACACACAGACACACACACCCAACCCCAGGCAGCCACTCGCTCACCAAAACCTCCGTGATGGGCAAGAAAATCCGAACAGGGAAATGGAAATGGGATGATTGAATAATTCCACCCAGTGCCCCACGACTAAGGGGCACAAAAGCAGCTCTCAGAAGCCTGCCTGCTATGTTTTAATTCTAATGAAGTCCTGAGGAGAGAGGCTGTGAGCAGAGGGAGCTGCTGCAGGGCTGGCGGGCGAGGCAGGAGCGCAATTCCCCACACCACGTGCTCCGTATTTGATGTTTCACCACTCAGCACCGTGAGTGGTGCAGGATGCAAATCCTGAAATCCTGCCTCCTGAACAAAGACAGGCACAGCTTTGTTCAGCTCGGGGCAACTCTCAGCATTTGGAGCCGAAGCAGCAAAAGGAGACAGCAGGCTAGAACTGGGCTGTGGTAAAAAGAATTTTAAAAAAACACCACGCCAAACTATTTTAAAAAAATAAAATAAAACAAACAAAAAAACTCCCCAAACCCCCGCCCCCCCCCAAAAAAAAGTAAACCAAAAAGCTCATTACTTCTTGAATGAAAATTATTTATGAATTATTGTTGTTCTGCATTTAACAGACATGGCCAAAGACTGCTGACCATAAAACCTTCACTGTATATTTTGAAAATCCATATTTCATGTACTCGAAAAGATAAACATGATAAATAAATCCACCAGCTTGCACTGAGAACAAAGTCACACAGCTCTGATTTATTTTTATATATATTTTTTTTTTCCTTTTTCCTCCTTTTCTTTGGGGTTACTCTGTAAAAAAGTGCCACCCCACCATGGAAATTGATACAAGCACTAATGCCTCTTACACATCAGCGTGTAATGCAGTACAGAACACGGGTTATACAATACACTATTGTTCAGTTACACTGTTAAGCAGTAAAACACTACTTAGGGGAGGCCCTTTGCTTGTCAGGCAGACTGTCAGGAGAAACTGTTACTCATTTTAATGAGAGGGGAAACAAAACTAACTCCTCCCAAAAGTTGGCTCTCTTTTTCAAGGTAAATTAACACAAATTAGCTGCATTCTTTCATCAATCTTCCTGGATTGTGTGTTTTTTCAGGTAAAGCAACAGAAAAGCAAGATAAATCTCTGACTGCTCTGCCCTAAGAGTTCTATGATCAGTGAAACAAGCATAGATTATTTCACTACAGAATGATTGACAATTCAGGTTGCAAATGCAACAGCAATTACAAAAATCTCTTGAAAAGTAATGGTACTTTTCCCTGTAATACTGCACTCATTTTTCAATTCCGGCTTCTTCAACAAAGAAAACAGATGAAAGAAACAGCAATTTATTCCCCACACAAAAATGTATATAATTTACACTGCCAGTCCTAAGAGTCACAAAAAATAATGTTAATGAAAAGGCTTCCTAAAGAAAGTCAAGCTAATTCCACAGATTTTTAGGTGTTTGGGAGTTTTTGCTAACTCATAAGCTAAAACCACCTTTAACTGCAAGCTTTTTAGTATCAGTTGCATCTTTGACAAAGGGAGGACATCCACAACCACATGGGCTGTGGGTAACTGAGCTCAAAACATGTCTCAAAATGCATAAAAATTTCTGTCCACTGCTGCTGAGCTTCTCAGGTGCCACCTGGGAACTCACCTCTTCTCCGCATCGCTACAGTTGCTGAGCAGCTTTTCATTTTCTCTCTGCAGATGCTCAGTTTTGGCCTGCAGCTTTCCCAGCCTGTCCAGGCAGTAAACAAGGAGTTCCTTGACCACCTCTGCTGGGCTTGGGACTTCCTGCAGCTTCAGAGATCCAAGTCTGAACTGGGACACAAGGAAAGAATGAGTTATTTCAACTGTACAAGAAACTTCGCTGAGGCTTTGCTCTAGTAAACTTGAACACATCTCCAATAAGTGTAAGAAATACCTTACAGCCCTCCAGTTCAAAGGGGGACAATAAATTCGTCATGCCGAGAATGGAGAAATACGTGGAATAATCTACATGCTAATTATTTCCAGAGGGCCACAATATTGAGAAGGAGTCTGCAGCAGCTCCAGAGGCTGCAGGAGCCGGGCCCGGCCAGGCCGGAGAAGGGAAGGCCCGGAGGGGATCCCGTGGATCCACACAAACATCTCCGAGGGCTGCCAGAGGATGGGGCCGGGCTCTGCCGGGCGCTGCCGAGAATAAAATAAAGGGCAGCGAGCGGCAGCCCGGCAGGAGGAAGAACTTGTGTCCATGGAGGGGCAGAGGCCTGGAACAGCTGCCCAGGGAGGGCCTGGAGTGTCCCTGTGTGGAGCCATGGCAGCCCCAGCTGGGCACGGCCTGGGCTGAGGGAGCTCCACAGGAACCTTCCAAAACCAAACTATTCTGGGATTCCTTGCAGCTAATATGAAAAATCTAGCCAACAAATTGTCACCTCCAGGGCTCAGACAGTAAGTTCTTAATCATAAAAGGACTCCTTCAATTAAACAGGCAGCCTCATCAACTCAGTGAGATTAAATGGTCTGTAATGAACCACTGTGTGTTTTCAGCAATGGGGATGCCATACAGGACCGTACAGGAGGTCTGAACGTATTTTGTTTTGCCTGGTCTGGGACAAACAACAGAAAACTGTTGTTTTTGTCATGTCAAAGGAAGACTAGCTCAGCCATACATACAAACCAGCGCCAGCTGAGCTACAACCATGCAAACCTGGGTGGATACACATTAATATACAACACAATAGTTTGAGGGAGTGGAAGAAGGAGAAGGGGTCGTCTCTCGTATCTTGCGATTATCAAAAAGACTGACATAAACTTTGTGGCATTTCCCTGTGGAGAGAAGTATTACCCATCTTTTCAACTTGAATAACTATATACAGCTATAACATCCTATAAAAAAGCATAAATGTAAGTGGTACACACTAGGGAAGAGTTCACTCTGTTGTGGCACGTCACCTATTAAAATCAGAAATGCAGTTTGATTTGTTTTTTTTTCCCCATTTTACTTAGGAAGGCATGGAAAAATTACATAAAAGACATCTATTTAAAAAATGACTATTGTTTGCTAACTTTTTAAAATTTAACTTTCACTAATGCCTTAACACTAAATGAGTTTTGGCTGGTAAAGGTAAAAGCTGCTCACAAAGCTTCCAAAGACATTGTTTGAAATGAGCAACAGTGCTTCCGCACAGACCTTTTATCTGGGGAAGTCTCTGCCACATGATACCATCCTGACCTCCTTCAGCAAGGTCAGTCTGTCAGAAAACGTGTAAAACCCAAAGGTTTAATTTCCAATTAGCCACCAAATACACATGTGCTGTCTCTAAAGCGTTGTTGTCTTTAGCTGGCACGCATCTGATAGCTAGAGATGAAAAGATGCTTTTAATTTATTTTTGGAAATTAGATTACACTATCAGTAGCCCACAGATTGGTGTGCACCCCCTGAACATCACACTTGCTGTCTGACAGCATTAACAAAGATGGACATTTGTGTAAAGGAAACTGTTTTTCATCACTTGCAAGCCACCACCACACTATTTGGATAAAGAATTCACAGAGATAGAGAGGCACAGTAGCACAGATAAACAGGATCACAACCTTTTACCGTGAAGGAAACAGCAAGGAGGGCACATAATTTTTGTCTTATGCCTTAATATATTCAACTGAGATCAGGTACAGGCAAGTATATTTAATCAAGACAAACAAATTACAGTTTTCAGTGCACAAAAAGAATGAAAAATGCATAATCCTAAAACAGGTCAAAGTGAGTAGCAGTAGAATTATTCTGAAAGCCTGGTACCACTGCACAACCAAAATCACGCCAGACACACAGCAGACACTCCAAAAGCAATTGTAATTATTAAAAACCCCCAGCACTGCTACAGGGACACGGGGAATGTGCCCAGGTTTGCAGGTGTTGAAGTCCAACACGTATGGTCAATCTTTAGTTTACCCTTTAGTTCAGTCTTTATGCAAAGCAATTGACTATTTCTATTTGACTACTTTCTCACTATAAAATTCACTGTCCTGCTTCTGTGTTTTAGAAACTGAGACCTGTGGAGCATTTCTAGGAGGCCCACAAAGGTGAGCACAGCAAGCCCGTCACCAGGAGGATTAAAATTATCATGCAGATGCTGACAAATCAACTAAAAAAAAAGGAAAAAAAAGAAATAGTAAGGTTTTCTGCAAAACTCTTCTGTATCTTCCCTCCTCCCACAGTCATCTAATCTTAATTTAGGATGGCTGTGGGGAGCACATTTTCCAGCTACCTGCAGGAAAACACAGAATGTTTGGATACAGCCCTAATTGAAAGAAAACCCCTGTGACAGGCTGAAATAGTGGAAGGTGTCCCTGCCCATGGAAAAGAGTGGAACGAGATGGGCTTTAAGGTGCCCCCCATCCCAAAGCACCCAGTGATTCCATGATCCTGGACTGCGTGCTGGTGCTCTGCCTCCCTCACACATCACACGGAAACCAAAATCCCCTTCTGGCAGGCAGCTCCTCCAGCATGGAACTGTTATCCAGCACCTATTGAACACACAGAGATGTCAGCACTAACAATAGCAACGCTGCTATCTCGGCTAATTACAGCCCGGTGGCGTTCGCCCCACCAGGAGCCCGGGGCTGAGAGGCTGATAAGGCAAAAAGGCAGCCAGGCCCACTGAATTCCCAAAGCGGCACTAAAACAACGTCAAGAGAAATAAAATCTCCAGGCAGCTCTGCTTTTTTAAATTTAAATTTAATTTAAAGTTAATTCGATTTAAATTCTCATTCAAAAGGAGATGTTAGTTTTTCTCACAACACTGCTAAGATTTTCCTTGCAACTAAAGCAAGAAACAGTCCAGTTATTTGTCCTTCATCACCAAAACCACAGTTGGGGAACTGCAAACAGTTCTAGGGAGATGCAGTGGAAGTGGTTAAAGATCAGGATACCATAACAAACAGTTAACTGGGTGGGATATCAAGATAAACAGCTCTTGGGTACTGCAGGAGTGAAAGAAAACATCATTAACACCTCACTAAGCTAATCTGACAAGCAACACGTCTTTGGTTTGGATCACGTTTCCAAGGTGATTTTGTAAATTCGTAACGGTGAATTTTAATTTTTTGTTGTTGTTGTTAGCTTTGTAAATTCCTGCACGTTGCTGCTCCCCAGATGAATTTAAATTTCTCACCATCCTTACAGCTGCTGTAGCTCTCTGGCTCGGCATCATCTGCAGATGTAACTAATGTGCTTTCTACTTCCCCTTTCAGATCATTCAAGAAAACATTATGTAAAACACTGAAGCACTAAACACTTCATTTATACGGAGAAGGAGTAGATCTGGTAGAGGTCCCAGGGGACAACTGACTGACTGTGACTGATACACTGCTGCCCTTCAGTTTCTGCTTTATTGTTTGTTGGCATTTTATTTTTAAAAATTTTTACGTTCTTACAAGTGCAGGAAGGTGAACGCAGAAGCCTTCAGAAAACTCTGTTCCCTTAATCAGAAATCACAGTCATCACATATCCACCAGGCCTGTATTTTGAACTTGAGAAATAAAAACAATTAGAAGCTTATGCCAAAAATGTCATTTTCCCCTGACCTCTCACCCTGCCCACTGCTCGTATTCTAGAGATGAGGGAAGAAGTGATCTCAAACAATAAGACACAAAATATTACAGAAATAACTGAAAAGTTTCTCAGTTTTTCTTCTAGATGCTTATGCTTACAGGAAGATGTGCTTCACATAAGAAAATAGCAGTTACTAAAAAATGAGACAACACATTTTTCACAGAAGATTCCAAAACTTAAAGTTACTTTATTGTATACTGACAGTGAATTTTAATTTTGCATGAAATAAAACAGATCTGCTATATAATCTTTGCATTACAACCTTAAAAAAGAGAGTTATCATATCTAAGGCAATAATTATCAGAAGTTATGCACTGAAAGGAGGACTTTCACACAGCAATGCCTCTCTTCTGAGTCAGATTCTGATGATAAACACTAACAGTCAGCTTATTTCCAATAACAACAATCTTTCACTATGTCTATAAGAAAAAAAAAAAAAATCATGCTGGAAACTCTCATTACATCTGCTTTACTGGCTGTGATTTCTTTCTCTATTAGTAAAATATTCCAACAACCCTTTCTAACAGTATTTTTTATCCACAATATATTTAAGGAAATCTATAGTTCCAGAAGGTAGGAAAAAGTAAAAAAAAAAAATAGATAGATTCTATTCTAGTCCTTTGTTGTCCTGGCAGGGTAGAGCATATAGATACAGATATATATATATATATATATACATATATATATATATGTATTTATAGATCTATGTGTTGTGTGTACTTGTGAGCCTCTTTCCTATTAAATCTTAACCCACAGTATTTCAATTTTTCCTTCTCTGTTTTGAAGACTAATTAACAATTTTTGGAGAGAGCACACTTGACAGATACTTCAGTCTGATTTTCAAATGAAAATACTCCCAGCATGTGAATGATAGAGGTTTAATCATATGAGCCAACCTTGTATGGCCTGTTACAGGCTCTCACTCAGCTTCCACTCCTCCTGCCTCTGAGTGAGACACAGAGATCTTTTCCCACCTCTGAGTGAGACACGGAGATCCCCGTGCTCTGCCCCTAAAACAGAATTTCAGACTGAGCTAGCACACCCAGGAACACCTACATCCATGCAGACAGATGCTGCCACCTGCAAGGTATTGCTCAAGCAATATCCTTTCACCAGGGAAATATTAAAGAAGAATTTGAGGGGGAAAAAAATAAATTCCAGAGCAGCCCACCAGCACGGAGCAGCTGTGCAGTCCCTGTCTGGTTTCTTGGAGACCTGCAGTCTGTGA